TTAAAATTTCCCTTCTTGAAGAGCTGTTGCTTGAAAAAGGATATATTTATTTACTGTTCCTCCTCTAGATTTTAACTACTTCTATTATAAACCATAAAGTTGTTAGTGGAATCTTTTATCAGTGTTCTCTAAGCTCGCACAGGAAGTTTCTACTTTTATACGTACATGTGTTCATATATACAGCACTGGAATTTGTTTTACGTAAATTATCATCCTCTTTTGTGTAAGGACAGTGTTTGCTTCTGTTTGGTTTATTTAAGGGTAACAGCTATGGGTACCTCCAGAATTCTGAGAATTCATCTCTACCATTTATTTTTCATCATGGGCCAACCCTCCTCTTGAGTGAGGCTAATAATATTACACTGTGCTACTCTGTTCATTTTAAGCAGCCAAGATGGAGAAGCTCTTTTCAATCATAGATGTTACTCTGGCTGTGACTGTTATCCCGCCTAACAAACAGTGTATCAGAAAATGGCAACAGCACCAAATTAAATTCTTATCTGTTCTTTGACTGGGTTGTGAATTGCTCTATGGTACGCAAATTGCATGCTGATAAGGCCCTGGAGTTCTGAATTTTGCGCTTTGCCTATGTACTTTTCAGCGGGAAGATAATGCAGAGACATGTCTTATTTTTAATCTTTAATTTTCAGAAATGGGATTAAAAATAAGATGGTTATCACCATTTGCATGAAGGGAAAAATGTCTCATTTATAGTGCCCCCTTCCTAAATCAAGGAGCCGAAGCTAGATTCTGAGACTGTGTTCCGGGCACTAATAAGAAGGAGTTAAGATTGGGCCATTTCCTATTTTCATTACAGTTTTTATCATGAGAATGAATTAATGAGCCATTATTCTCTTCTCACTAAAGGCTTTCTTCACTACAATTAGAATGGAAAAAATTTTATGATCTTTCTACTTACAAATAGTAATCTGTCTTTCTCTGACCTTTTTGACAGTCTGTTTTGGCTGACATGTCATAGCACCCTGTGTTCCAGACCTGCAGGGAAAGTGGTAGGTTGATAAGCCACGGCAAACTCAGACAACTAGAAAGGTCATTGTAACCTAGTGTACTGAATATAAAGGCTATTTATTATTTATTTATTCTCATGATTCATTCTGGCGTTTGCAAAGTTGACAGTCATGGAGTGGGTAGCTCAGGAAGCACAGCCTGATCTTGGATTATGCGCTTGGTTCTATCTCTGAGCTTTTTACTTGACGCTGGGCAGGTAGCTTCCCCTTCTGTAAGTCAAAGGTTCTCCCTTATTTTCATCCTCCCTCTGTGTTGTACTTGACTCATCTCATTCAGGGTTAAGTTGGCATTTGTGCCTAAAACTGTATGTGTATGTATGTCCACACTTGTGTGCAATTTAAGAGTTCCAGTGTGCAACTAGTTTCTATACATTATGTAAATGGAAAACATTCTTAACCGTGTTTTGAAGTATATTGTTGTGCACCAGCTTAATCTGAGAACGCCACTTATGTAGAATGTCTTACGTGTAGCATTACAAAACCTCAATGAATTGTAACTTAACAGTACAGAACGGCAGACGGTGCAATAAGCAATGAGATCCAATGGTGTGGGATCACTCAAAACAGGGTGGAATTATAAAATGGCTGTAAGGTATAAGAGGAAACCTCAGTCCCTTACTTCATTGCACTCTGAGACCAAATTCTGGTCTGCATTCTCTCTTGTGTGTCCTTATTCAATCCAGTTTTTTAATGGTAGACCTTAGAAGGGACTGACTGAATTTACATCATTCTCTTCCATTCTCCTGAGAATTGTCTACCATGTGCTTCTGTATTCTTATGCTATCAGATGATGCTTTTAAATGGCAGGTTAAACTGAAGTGTGGAAGGTGCTCAAGCTAATCAAACATTCCAAGGTATCTCTGCAGGTGTTTTATAGTTCTAGCATGGAAATGCTAAAGGTTTAATTGTCTGAGTATGTAACAAGAACAGGAAATGACACAATGGCAATTCATTTTCTCCAAGAATACAGTGGGAACACAGTCTACAGCAACCTTAATTAGATTTTCAGTTAAACATTTTTAGCAAGGATGGGGAGTTCATCTAATTGAATCTGTTCTAATTTCCATTCTCCTGTTTATCATTTTTTATTCTTCATTTTGGGGCATATTTCAAGGCTCTCATTGTTCTCTGCTCATTGCAGTATGTGATGACAGATGGTAGGCAACATGCTGATGTGCAGGGTAGCTACACATAAGCCGTAGGAGCTCCCACCTGTCTTCATTATAATGAAACTGAACTGGATCCACTCCAGTAACTTTTGCCTTCCTTTCCCCCTCTCCTCCCAGTCTCCATCCACTTTAATGTGAGAATAAGTTTGTTCTGTATTAATAATGCCCAAAATGTTTATATGCTGTTGCATCAACCTGTAGAAAGCCTAAAAGAAAAGTGGTGTTCAGCCCTGAAGAAATGGAGGTCTAAGTAATCATCTGCTTTTAACATCCCTGCAGTTAGTATATTCACTGTTGCGATTTTTTTCCTTCCTTTTTTTCCCTGTCTGTGTCTGGATGATTGAGTACTGGTTAATGCAAAGGTGCCTTATTTTGTCATCTGTTGATCTACTAATTTCAAGTGTGATTCTCCCCCACAGGGTGATAGTGAACATTTTTTTAAAAGAGGAAATATGTCAAAGTCATAATGTAAAAGTTAGCATTTAAAGGTGATTTGTGGATTAGAGATGTATTGCTGTGGCACCTTGCTATCACAGTTTACCTGCAGGCTATATATGTTCTTAGGTCTAAACAAAGCTGGCATTAGATACATAGGTGGTAGCCAGCTCTGTACTGGCTAGAGGACTGCTATCTGAACTCTGGAGTAGATGTTTTGGCAGTTTTTGCAGGTCTGGATTGTATGACACTCTTACAGGAAATATCTCATAGATGTTCTATAATTCAAGCTGTCTTGGATGCTAAGCTCACAGGATTCAAGAGTCCTTCTAGTTAAATTGATTCCAGAAACATTCCAGAAAGAAGCTTCTGCAAAAACTGGGCTTTGTGCCTGCCTGTTTCTCAGAATATCTCATGGAGCAAATATTTACCTTTTAGTTAGAAACCTATTTTAAGATATACATGTAGTCTGCTTCAAGTTCTTTAGTATTCATATTTCTTTTTAGAAGATTCCCATAGCATTATGCCAAATGGCCTTTTACAAGTTGCCACAAGCTGCAAAGAAGGTAAAAATTAAGACCTGCAGATTCTCAAGAATCTTTTCCAAGTACAGAAGCTTGCTATATTGCTTAACTGAGCCGTGCTTGTGACTTTCAAGTCTTTAATTTATCATTAAAGGAAGAGGTTGCGTTTCAAAGAGCAAATAGCAGATTTGTGCCCCTTGGGGTAGCTTGTGATTTGTAGTTTTTTGGGGAAAGATGGAGACAAAGGAATAACAACTGAACAAACTGAAAATAGAGTTGGTTTTTGGAATGGAAAATCAGTCCCCTCTGAAAACCAGGATCCACTGAATGAGTTACAAGGTGGGTTCCCCAAAGGTGAAATGGCCAGTGTTTGGTAATCTCCATTTAAATGTATTTAAAAAGAAGGTTCAGGTTGTAGACTTACTGTTTTGGAGTGAGGTTAGTAGGTTACGGGCAGACTGTGCATGACTTTAGGTAGCTTTGACAATGCCTCTGAACCTCCAGTAATCCTATTGCTCTACCCTAGGGTTTCTCCTTAGCTAGTTATGAAGGAAGAATTTCCAGTTGGGTAAGAAGAGTCTCAAGGAATTGTTTTCTTCTTACCTTGCACACAATTGTCTTCATGGAGAGGAAATTAATGTGATTCCAAAAGGGCTCCTTGGGGTGCCATCACAAAATATACCAAGTTGGAAGGGACCCACAAGGATCATCAAATCCAGCTCCTGGCTCTACACAGGACCATCCCCAAGAGTCTTGTCCAAATGCTTCTTGGACTCCGTCAGGCTTAGTGCTGTGACTGCTTCTCTGGGGAGCCTGTTCCAGTACCCAACGACCTTCTGGGTGAAGAACCTTTTCTAATATCCAACCTAACGCTCCCTTAAGACAACTTCAATGCAGACAAGTACTGAGACTCTGGCACAAATAGTTTGCCATAAGCAAATATGTCTACACAAATGTGAAAAATAGACTCTATGTACAGATAAGTGCCTGTTATGATATGTAACCTAATAAAGTGCAAATCTTCAGGGAGCTGCAGTTGGACATAGGCTGAGCATCTCTGATCAGGAATGAGTTTCCTGCCAACTAGCAGGATTTGCTTAAAGGGTTTGTGGTTACTACATGTCCATCAGATGCTGCAGCTCTTCTCTGATAAGGAGCAAGGAGTAAAGAGAGAAGTCACAGTCCCAGGCAGTGTTTAAATTAATAAATTAAATAAATTTAGTATCTGAGCACAGAGTCAAAAACATCTAAAATAATATCCTAATTAATAATTTATTTTAATATTAAAATTTTGTTATTCTATAATCAAAGTATAGCTAAGTCATAGTTATAGCACATGCTAATTCAGGTGTAAACCAAGTTCGTTAGTGTCCATTTGCTTTTGTCTACGCCATTTATAGTTGAAGGGAGCTAACACAACAGGGCACACTGTACTGTAGAGCAGGCCATGGACTAAAACTCAGCTAATAGAAGGTGGATTATGAAACCACTTTTCTGGAAACTTGAATATTAAACAGAAGGTAAGTGACTGAAGTGTAATGTTCAACACACTGGGTTGAAAGACCACTAGTGAGTTGTGAATCAATGCCATCTTTATGCTTTGCACATTCATGCATGCACACAGAGGGCTAACAGTTGTGTTTTGTGAAATTTCAGTTGAAAGACCATTCTTAACAGTGTGTGAAGAAACATGCCAGCTTTTCACGGAGTTGTGAAATTATCTTTGATTACTGTATGCAAGTGTGATCTTACCGAAAGTGATACAACCTTCCTAGAATGTTAGTTGAATACCACTTTTAGTTCCATTTTTACGTCTCATTTTTTTTTTTTTTAATTTTCCTCAGGGAGAAGTGTCTTCTTCCTCTTCAACTGGCTCTGGAATCCAAGAGCATGAAGCTGGCCCAACAGGCTCTAGCAGGGATGCAGGTATGGCTTTAGAGTGGGGATGTGTTGACAGGCAGTGGGTATTAAGGAAAGCTAGGCTTTTCTCTTGAAAAATAGCACAGAAAAGTGTCTATCCTCATGTGGATCTAACAGTAATGTTCATGTTTCTGTAATGGTGTTCAGAAGTTAGGATGCAAGTAAGGGCTGAAGCTAAAAGTGTTTGCAGATAGGTAGGAGTTCCTGGATTTTAACTTTGAAATGTAGATGTACTCTTCCTTGCGTGTCCCTGTGCTAGTCTCTGCCGCTGTTAAGCATCTTAAGAAACTAAGCTGAGTCAAGACTTGCTGCTTTCTTTGATTGGAAGTGAGTATAAGGATGTAAGTGGATCGCTCAAATTCATTTAATCCAGCATATAAGGTGTCAGATATTTGGTTAGACCCTGCCCCATATTGGGGCACAAAATGGTTGTAGTGGTTCTAGAAGGCTCTGGCTAAGGAAAATGGTGGGGTTTTAAGGGTTTTGGTAATTATTGGCTTTTCCAGAAGACATATACCACCTTCTTGCAGCGTAGTACTCTAATCCCACTCTGACATCCTGTGCCCTGCGTTTCAGCTATATGAGAAGTAGGGAATGGAGGTTGCTTTTAAAGTGAAAAGTGGGACTTAAATAAAAATATATCTGTTGTTGTACTGGTGTGGGTATGCCTGCTAGAAGAGCTTTGCAAACTCATGATCAGCAAAGAATAGTGGAAGAATTACGAGTGACCCACTGTATGTTGTAGTGTAACTTCCCTGGGAATGCTCAGTGAGGATAAATTTCATCTTTTTAGTCTTCTAAATTGCTACACGTAACACTTGAGTTCTGTAAGAACTGGAATTGCAAAGTTGCAGATTTTCAGTATGGTAACAGTTAAATAAGAATGTTACCTCCTATCTAGAAACCTATAAAGGTAATCCAGGCAACAATACAGTCCTTCATCTGCATTTATGATACGTAAAGTTTTATGAAGGGCAGAAAAGCAAACCACACAACTGATGATAGGGAGATACGTTAAAAAATAGGACAAAAGACAAAAATGAGATTAAGTACAACTTAAATTTACCCAGGTAGGTCACAGGATAGTGGAAGTTAGCAGGGACCTCTGGAAGTCATCTGGTTCAATTCTGCTGCTCAGATAGGGTCACCTAGAGCTGTTGCCCAGGTTTGTGTCCACATGGCTTTTGAATGTCTCCAGGGATGGAGACTCCACAACCCTGCTGAGCAGCCTGTGCTTGATCACCCTTTTAGTAAATTGTTTCCTGATGTTTGGAGGGAACCTTCTGTGTTCCAGTTTGTGCCCATAGCTTCTTGTCCTGTCACTGGACACCACTGAGAATATCCTATTCTGTTCTCTTTGCAACCCTCCTTCAGATATTTATATATGGCGATTACATCCTCTTTGAGCCTTCTCCAGGCTAAAGAGTTCCAACTCTCAGCCTTTCCTCATAAGAGAGACACTCCAGTTCCTTTGTCATCTTAGCAACCCTTCCCTGGACTCTCTCCAATAGCTCCATATTTCCCATACTGAACTAAACATTCTCCTTTATATAAAAAACCCCATTATTTTCACTGCAGTTTGAGTTAAATCTCATGAGGCAGTACAGTGCTAAAATACTTGATGTACTGATATGTGGGAAATTCTTTAAAACATTGTTGTGGGTTAACTGTGGCTGACAGTTCCAGACCCAGCCACTCACTCTCTCCCTTGCAGGGGAATAGGAGAGAGAATCAAAAGGCAAAAAGTGAGAGAACTTGTGAGCTAAGATGAAGTTTAATAGGGAAAGCAAAGCGGCATGCACAACCAAAAGCCTATATGGAATTAATTAACTTCTTCCCATGAACCAGCAGGTGTTCAGCCATCTCCAGGAAAGCAGGGCTCCACTAAGCCTCATAGTTACTTCGTAAGACAAATGCCATAACTCTGAATGTCCCTGTCTTCTCCACTTCCTCCTTTGTTCTCCAACTGTTGTTGCTGAGCACGGTGTCATATGGTATGGGATATCCCTTTGGTCACGTTGGGGTCAGCTGTCCCAGCTGTATCCCCTGCCAAACTCTTCTGCACCCCCAGCCTACTTCCTGGGCAGCCAGTCTGAGAAACAGAAGGCCTTGATACTGTCTAAGCTCTGCTCATTAATAGCAAAACATGAGTGCGTTATCAATGCTGTTTTGGTCACATATCCAGAAGAGCACTCTGTGAGATCCTATGAAGAAAATTAACTATTCCAGCCAAAACCAGTACAAGCATAGAAAATAAGAAGGAATGAACCAGTGAAATGTGCTACAGAGTTGAAGCTGAGAAGGAGCATCAGTACAAAAGTCATGCAAAATGTACAGGGTAAAGTGGGCTGCACAAAGTCTGCACTGGGACACAGCAAGGTTGTGTTCCTGGGATCTAAGACAAGGTAGTTTTGCTCTGTCATGGGAGTTTCTAAGAACATGGGAACTGGGAAAAAACTCGAGTGGGTATGTCTACTGCAGGATGCCTGCCACTATTGAGGCACCCATGAAGGTGGTTATAGACTAAATAGAAGAAGCATTTCTAGTAGAACTCCAAGGAAGTAGTGCCACTGACCATGCTGATAGTTGCTCAGATACTGGCTTTTTCAAGGCAAAGCAAATCTGATCAGTCTAAAATATTCAGTCAGAAGTTCATTCAGTCTGTACTGAACACACTCCTGTGTATGTTTGTGTTAGTCACTTGCTCACAGTATCCTTCCTTCTGAGGACTTGATTGTATTCATTATTAATCAACTTCTGAATGATGCAAAACACATCTTGTTCATGATCAGAAGTGCCACCTTCACTGTGCTTTACCTTGTACCCTATTGGAATGATTGGGACAATAGGTGACTGTCACCTGCTGGGCAGGGGATCTGATAGCACTAGTTTGATGTCAGAATACTAGCCTGAGTGGGGCTTTTTGTTGTTTTTAGGTTTGAGGAGCTGCAAAGGTTCCACTCTCTCCCCACTTCCAAAATGTTGAGATGTTTTGCTGAGGGCATTACTTGCAGTGATTTATCAGTTACTGATGTCCACTTTCTTCTGGACGCTGGTGAAATAGGATGGGGAAAGACGATACTGGAATGGCAGCTGACTCAAAAGATGTTGGCTCCCCCCCTGCTTCATGGCACATGTCTCCCAGTTTTGCTGTATTTTTGCATTTTATATTATTGGCACCATTTAAAATTTTTACATAAAAAACCTAACCTCTGTAGTACCAAGCACTAATAAGTTAGTTGCAGTAGTTTACAGAAGAATTGGGCAGAGGCAATTTTGTCTCAACCTGTACATTGCTATTTTCTCTCTGCAGAAGCTGCTGTCTGATGAGAGGTTTGTATCCGTGGAAACAGACTCAGACGAGAAACAGTTGCTTAATCAGATGCTGAATGCCGTCAAAGTGACTCCTTCACTCAATGAAGACCTGCAAGTTGAAGTGATGAAGGTTAGTGTTTCACACACATCAGTGATTGCAACAGAGGCCGCATGAATCGATGCTGGGGTTAGCAAATAAATTAGCTGTTGCCATGGAAATCTTCATTTTATGACGGTATTTGATTCCCTTCTTCCTGGTGGCAGATGTTGGTTGGTTTCATTTCTACTTCGTTTGTGTTTCCCTGATTAAATAGGAGATAGTTTATATTAAGAGTCAGTACACTGATGGTTCCAGTTTTAGCAAACTGAAACAGGACAGTCAATCTGTTCCATGGGAGTGCACATATAAATGACTTGCAGATTTGTTAGTTTGTTATTGAGCTTTAGCGGTCATGAGGTGGGCTGTTCAGGCTTGTAATTTTGTGTTGTGTGTGCATAGGTGCTTTGTAATTAGTTAGCTATATTTTCTCTTTGTAAAATGCTAATGATGAAGCACGATTTGTTTAAGCACCAAAATGTCACTGTACCAGTGCATAAGGGAAATAATTGTTTTGTAAACTCAGGGAAAACTTCCATTTCTAGAAATGCTTTAGCATTCTCCTGTATGCATGTTAGGAAGCTCAGCTGCCAGGAGGTATTGTTTTGGATTGGAGGTGATGTCAAATTTCCCTGCTCTGTCATTGGGTTGGTTGTATGACTTGCCAGTACTGTAATAAAAAAGTGACTTCCAATTACTGTAGTATTTGTGTGAAGCAAGATGATGATGGACAGTTCTCAGATGTTTGAGTGTAAACTTTGTACTGCAAGGTTTGTTTGCTATAGCTGATCATCAGTTGAAAACCACTTTGGAACGAACCTGCTGGTCCTTTTTGCATGTTCATAATACCTAAAACTGAGTGATACATTTGGAACTACTCCTTGACCGTTCTTTACTTCTAAGTACATAGACTAGCTATTTTGTTTCTTGCATGTGACATTTTTGTTCAAATGAACATATGTTATCCACTCTGAAACTGTTCTGTACTAGTTGTACTCTTTAGCACTAGAGGTTACTACTTGGGTGGAATATGCCCACAGTGTCATAACATGCAGAAGGGTGAGCCTAGCAGCAGAAAAAAGGGAGTATTTGAGTGGACTGTTACCTGTTTTATGGAGCAGGTTTCTGTGTACAGTTTTAACTATGACACTCAGATCTACATTCCTAACCCAGCATGCCTCTTTCCTGCCTCTTTTGTCTCTGAAGTGGGAAAGGGGAAGAGTTAAGAATTAGCAGTACTGAACCAACAGGTCTCTTGCTATGCATTAATTTTTTGCAATTTGCTTTTTTTACATTCTTGAGTGTTGCAGATTTGTTATCTGCATGCATACTGTTAATTTGAAAGTACTGGCATACATCTGTCAGAAATTGCCCCTACACTAAGAATGTGAGCACTGTATTTTGCTACAGTTATGTGAACCTATCTTCTCAAATTGTCTTGATATGTGAGAAGCCAAAAAAAAGAACTGAGAAACCTTCAAAACTTTTAACCACAGAAAACCTAAGCCAAAACATTGTATTTATGTACACTTCTTTTTTCCTTTTTTTTTTTTTTTTTTCAGTTTCTGTTTGGGCACAAAAGAGAAAAGGGAACATAATTTCACTGAGCGAAATCTTGATGTACAAATGTTTTCTGGCTAAAAGCACAGTGAAATGCATGCATGGTAAAATCAGGCTACAACTTTACATCCTGAGAACAAAGCAAAATTCTATTGACTTAAATATTTGAAGAAAGCAGAGGACCAAAACATATTATAATCAGGACAATTAAAACTCAAAGACAGTGGATTTGAGCCTTGCCTGAAAGTCAAATCAGCGGACATCTCTTTACATTGTAACCTGAAGGTTACAGATGCCATTGCAACACTTGAAAATGTTGTAACTAATGCAGGCCGGATGAATGGCTAAAGCCTTCAGGGAGTTTTCTAGCAGCTGGTCTCAGCAATGTGTTTATATCCCTGGATCTGCTAAAATGTGTCCTCAAGGCACCATATGATTGTACATCAGACTGTGTTATTCCATCTGGAGGAGATTAAATATACCTTTATCTAGTGCAGATAGATATTAGACACTCCTGAGTGTGAGCAAGTTTGTGTGAAACTGGATCAGCTGTGATACTGACCTAGTTCTTTGCGACTTGCTGCACAGTTGTACCAATCTCACAGGTATTAAGAGTGCAACCATCAAAAGTTACACAGAAGACTTTATTCATGCAAAATCAATGTGAAAGTAGATGTGCAGTAGTACTTCACTGCAATTTGCTGGTAAGCTCCTGAATCACTTAAATATGTGTGTTTGGGTTTTTTTTCTAATCCTATCCAGAATATCTCCTGTTATTCCCAGTAAGAGTACACCAGAAAGTCACGCTTCACACACTATCCAAAACAAATATTTTGAATATTTATTTTAATGATTTGTTGTCACCCACGTGTATTACAGATGGAGGTGTGAAAGGATTTGATTGTCTGAGGAGAGCATTCTGTAAAGGTTTTCACATTCAGATTGCTGCAAGTTGGAATTGGCAGTGGGAGGGAGAACACAGGAGAGAGGTGTAAGTGCGATTAGTTGCCTCGCTTGACACACTTTTGGAACGTGATAAATGTTATTATAAAGGGCCAGCAGTAGACAACAATGGAATAGAGTAATTGTAAGGGTTGTTGTAAATAAATGGAGAGGAGTGCTAGCTGGACCTCTTCTGGCACTGAGAAAAGCAAACCGTTTAGGCCACTGTTGTAAAAGTGGAAGGGCACTGACTAATTTATGGCTAGGTACCAAATTCTCTTTATTTTTAAGGATGAGTGTCATGGCATGCTCAGCAGATTCCCAGATTGGAGGATCACAAAACCAGCATGCCAACAATGTTCAGACTTAAGGGCCAGGGCTGGGGACTGTGCTGGAGTGCATCCTGGGCAGCCAGGGAAGATTTATGCTGCCCAAATGCAGTTGTCAAGAACTCAAAGCCTTCCCCTCTTGCAATATCTCTCTCCACTGTGTTAGGTGAGGTACCTCTTACCGTTTTTATGAACTTTGATTTAAAGTGGAATTTTACTTTTTGTAATAAGCAAATATTAAACTAAATTCCAGGTTAGGGACTGCTGTCGGTATCTCTAGTTCTTCTAAAATACCAGTTGTGGATTGCACCTTTCTTGTAGAGATTTCGTATAGAATGGTTATGTGGGGAAATTCCCCCCTTGGATTTCCAGAGTAGAAATGATACTGTGACATCTTTGTTTATTTTTTCTTGTAGGACACTCTTGTTATTACTAGGCACTGTGTAATTCTTATGTCAACAGCACTTTTATGCCCAAAAGAAGGGAGTGGTCTTTTCAGTGGGGAAGAGGGAAAGGCTATGGTTTCTCTTCGACACGAATAGACACCTATAACAAACACAGGTGTACTAACTGGATTTGATTTGCCACACACCAGAGCAAACTGTCTGGTGTATATAAATTTTGCATTCAGACTTGCATGTTATTTAACTGCTGAGCCAAATATTTCTTTATAATACCTCAATGACTATGTGGTGTGTGTATTCTATGCCACATGTGTTTTCTCTGTACCTCTGATGTGTTTTATGGGAGAGATTTATTAGTATTTCCAGACTGGGGACTAAACTGAGGTTATTTAGTGCTTTAATTTATATTACAAGATACTGCAAAAACAGGAAATCCAGAAGGTATGACCAAAGGGAACAGTGTATCTGACACAAGGCCACTTCAGTATTCTCCTTTGCTGTTGCCATGATACTTTGCTGTCAGACTGAGGAGCCTTCTAATATATGTATTACCAGTTTGTGTTTTTACTATACTCAACTGACTGTATCAATGGAAGGGAAAATCACACAATCATACAGTACTTTGCTGATGTTCTTCTTGTAATACATCAATAGCTTAACTGCAGTTTCAAACAGAATAATCTAAATATTTATACTTGTATATTTTCATTACAATATTCATGGAGGAAGAGATATATTGATCACTAATCAAATTCAGTGTTTTATCAGTGAGATACCAAAGTGACTCACTGCTTTATTTATAGAGTTACAGATGTATAGAAAAAAATCAGGGGGACAGTAATTTAGCACTTTCCTTAGATGAACACAGTCATGCAATATGACTGGCCCAGAAGTGGGAAGAATTTCATTGTGTGACATGGTACCATGTTATAATTGAGTGAAATGCAAGGCTATATACTCATCATGTCGATGAGTAGGACATTTTGTTGACCTGAAGCACTGGACGAACAAGCAAATAGACAGTCTGCAGAGGAAAGGGGATGATTTCCAGATTGAGGATTAATATCATGCATTTGGGTTTGGCTGTGGATTCAGGGGATTCTGATTTTTTTTTTTTTCCCTGGCTTGATGCTTTTAAATTCTGGTTTCAGATGTTTTTAAAATGGCTGAAGTACTTCTGCTTCATGGTATTAGGCCTTTGCTTGCAGGAACACATATAGTATTGGCAAAAGCACAATCAGATATTGTCAGATTGGCAGTGGAAAAAGGAAACTAGGAAACTAATCTATAGCTAAGTCTCTGGATTGTAGTCCCTTCCAGCCTCAACAATTCTGTGATTTTTTTTTTTTTCTCACTGTGATTTTTTGGTAATTTTTCGTCAGTAACCCTGACCCTAAAATGCATTTCCTTCTTGAAAGGCTCCTGGAAAAACTGGAATTCAGCTTTGAATGTAACTGTGGCAGCGAAGCAGATGAAATCAAATATGAAGGAAGTGGATAGTATGGAAGGAAACCAAAACAACAGGGACTGTTTGTTTGGGGTTTTTTCTTCTTTTTTTTTTCTTTTTCCTTTATTCTCACTAATGTTATGGTCCCTTTCATTTATAAGCTGACAACTTTCTTAATAATGCCATTCTTCTCTATCCGTGAGAACATTATTCTCAAATAACAACAAAAACAAGTTTAATAAATAATTGCAAATTAGTAGATGAGTCCTCACACAGAAATAAGTTCTCCAGAGAAACCAGATACACTGTAATGTAATGGAAACTAACAGTAAACAGGTTGTTCTTAAAAAA